AGGTGTAGTAGTGTAGGTAGAGAGGTTAGGTGTAGTAGTGTAGGTAGAGAGGTTAGGTGTAGTAGTGCAGGTAGAGAGGTTAGGCGCGTGTGCAGCGGGGGAGGAGGGAGGAAGGAGGAGGAGGGAGGAGGGAGGAGGAGGGAGGAGGTATGGAGGAGGGAAGAGGAGGGAGGAGGGAGGGAGGAGGAGGAGGAGGTAGGGAGGAGGAGGGAGGAGGAAGGAGGGAGGAGGGAGGAGGAGAGGAGGGAGGGAGGAGGGAGGAGGTATGGAGGAGGGAAGAGGAGGGAGGAGGGAGGAGGAGGAGGTAGGGAGGAGGAGGAAGGAGGAGGTAGGGAGGAACACTCACCCAGCAGCTTGGTGACGGGGTCGTCACGCCCGCTCGCGTGACAGCGGAATCGATCCGGGATCGGATGAACATCGTCTTCATCTCCCGGAAACCGGCGGGAGGTCGCGAGCCCCGCCCTTGCGATGTCGTCCAAGGTCGCGGCGAGGTCAGCGCGGGTCACGCGGTCGCCCACGCGGCTGTTCGTCAGCACCAGGTTAGACACCTGCGGGCGGAGAAAGGGAGAGGTGAGAGTGGTGCCACCTGCAGGCGAGAAGCGGCACTAGGACAAAGCTGCGAATTCGCTGTGCTGTGCGACGCCTCTTATTTGAAATCATTGTACGATGAGCTTACACCATTATTATTATTATTATCATCATCATCATCATCATCATCATCATCATCATCATCACCATCATCATCATCATCCATGGTTCGTACAGGAGGACTGAAATTTTTCCAAGGACTTTCAAGGACCTTTTCAAGACATTTTATCCGAAATGCAAAAGATCATTTTATCAGACATTTTTTATCGAATTCATGACACGAGAGACAATAACATACCTGGATTAATTAATAACGCAACCATTTCTTAATCAGCTGCATGTCACGCTCTAAACTTAAACCTGGATCACAATAATATAACCCTTCTAAGAATCACTGTCACTTCTACAACATACCTTGATTGTACTGACTGATTTTACCGACTTCTGTAATTTATGATCATGCATTTAACTGTCTATCGTGTCTATAGCTTTTTAAGGCTCATTAACACAATTGGTTAATTGAGAGTTTTGCACATTCATGATGGTGACAAAATTCTTTTGATTACAGGCCAGGGATTCCTTTCTAAAAATTCGAACAAGAGACATTTTCATGAAATGTCCTAAGGGACATTTCGATGAAATTCATAGCACCTTAGTCAAGCACAAAATCATAACATTTACTAAATCAAGTAATTTTCAAGGACTCCCCTGCAAATTCAAGGACTTTTCAGGACTGTGGCGAACGCATGGTCATCACGATCATCTATAACAAGTTAAAACTGATATTCCTCTTCGTTCGATACAAAATTACTCCACTGCGTGCACGACTGGCCGACACTCCCCATGTCTATAGGGACGAATCATGACAACTCATCACGTCACCTCCCCCTGATGCGCCTGCTCCGAAGAGCAGCGAGGAAGGATCGGCTTCTGCCGCACGCTTGGGGAGGGGCGAGAAGGAGGGAATCGGCTGCTGCCGGCACGCTCGGGGAAGGAGGGACGCAGGGAGGGAGGATCGTCGCTGCGCAGTGGCGCCCCTCGGGGGAGGGGGGCGAGGGAGGGAAGGATCGCTGCTGCGCACGCTTGGGGAGGGGGCGAGGGAAGGAGGGATCCCCGGCTAGCTGCCGCACGCTCGGGAGGAGGGAGAGGGAGGGAGGGATCGGCTGCTGCCGCATGCTCGGGGAAGGGGGGGCGAGGGAGGGAAGGATCGGCTGCTGCCGCACGCTTGGGGGAGGGGGGGCAGCAGGACGGAGGCATCTGCTGCTCGCCGCACTGATGGGGATGGGGGGGCGGGATACAGGGAGGGAGGGATCGCGCTGCTGCCGCACGCAAGTCAGAGGGAGAGGGGGCAGGGAGGAGAGGAAGTCGACTGCTGCCCGATGCACCGTCGTGGAGAGGGGGGCGAGGGAGGGAGGAATCGCTAGCTGCCTGTGCACGCTGGCGCGGGAGGGGGGCGAGGGAGGGAGGGCTCGTCTGTGCCGGCATGCTCGGGGAGGGGATGGAAGGAGGGATCGCTACTGCCGCACGCTCGGGGAGGGCGAGGGAGGCGAGGATCGCTGCTGCCGCATGCTCGGGGAGGGGAGAGGAGGGAGGAGATCGGCTACTCCGCACCTCGGGAGGGAGGGGGAGGTGAGAGAGGGAGAGAGATCGGCTGCTGCGGAACACTCGGGGAGGGGAGGAGGAGGAGAGAGTAGGGAGGGAGGGAGCGCGTACGCTACCTGTAGCTGGCACAGCCTTGGGTCTCTCCGGCTGATTCATTACCTCCTTCTCCGCCTGCAAGCACCAGCTGTTAACGACACAACACAACATGCGAGAGATCACGGCGAGGTGAGGAACGCGAGAGCGGGTGGTCGCATGCTCGGGGAAGAGCACACAACACACCATGGAGGAGATCACGGCTGAGTGAGAGAAACCAATCTTCGCTGCTCGAGGGGAAGAGGAGAACGACAACAGCAACATTGAGGAGATCTACGGGAAAGACCACGTCCGCTGCTCGGGGGAAGAGAGTACACAACACAAACAATGGAGTAGATGCACTGGCGAGTGAGAAACCAACGTTCGCTGCTGCCGGGGGAAGAGGGAGACACAACAGCAACATGGAGGAGATCAGCGCGACGTGCCGAATCCAAACGTCCGCTGCTCGGAGGAAGAGGGAACAAAAGCACAACATGGAGGAGATCCACGGCGAGTGAAGAGAATCGCAACCGTTCGCTGGCTCGGCGAGGCAGGCGCAGACACCACACCACCCACCACGAGTCGCCGAGCAGCCACAACCTCCGCCCCACATGGGGAAGAGGGAGACACAACACAACATGGAGGAGATCACGGCGAGCGAGAGAACCAACGTTCGCTGCTCGGGGGAAGAGGGAGACACAACACAACATGGAGGAGATCACGGCGAGTGAGAGAACCAACGTCCGTGCTCGGGGGAGAGAGGGAGATACACAACCACCCCTCAAAACAATTGGAGGAAGATTCACGCAGGCGAGTGAGAGAACCAACGTTCGCGCGCACACATGCAGAAGGCGCCCCCTGGCGAGCAGCGGTAATTACTGGCCAGGGGAGATATCAGTTAGAGATATTTCCTTTACAGTTTACAGAATAGGGTGAATGAGGGAAAAATGAAGAGGAAAGCAGAGGGCGGAGAAGATGAGGAGAGATAGAGAAAGCAGAAGTAGAGATAGAAACAGGTGACGGCAGAGGGAGAGAGCGAACAGGCAAGATGAGAGAGAGGAGCAGAGAGAGAGAAGAAGAGAGATACGAGAAGTGAGAGAGGAGAGAGAGAGAGAAAAGAGAGGAAGAGAGAGAGAGAGAAGAGAGAGAGAGAGAGAGAGAGAGAAAGACAAAGAAGGATAGCAGAAGAGAGAGAAAGAAGAGAGAGAAAGAGAGAGAGAGAGAGATGAGAGAAGAGAGAGAAGAAGAGAGCAAGTAATGAGAGAGAGAGAGAGAATAGAGAGAGAGAGAAGAGAGAAGAGAGAGAGAGAAAGAGAGAGAGAGAGAGAGAGAGAGAGAACGAGAGAGAAGAGAAGAATGAGAGAGAGAGCGCAAGAAGATAGAGAAAGAGAGGACGAGAGAGAGAGAAGAGAGAGAAAGTGAGAGTGAGAAGAGAGAGAGGTGAGGGGGGGGGAGGGAGAGTGACTACATACCCTGGGCATCAGCATCTCTACCCTGATGTCTGTGTGCTGTGGCTGTCGTTCATGTGGCTCTAGTATCTGTAATCACAACGCACACACCATTATACAACAACAGATCAAACCAGAGAGCACCCTCTAGTAGACGAAATACAAAGACTAACGGACCTGCACAAAACAGACGCACATCCTAAAAAAATCTCGAATGAAAACATATAATAAACTAGCATAATTAATTAATAATAATACTGAACATCCAGGGGCATCCACCGTAACCCAGGAAACGGGAGATGCGTGGGAGCAGCAGACAAATTTTTTGTCCAGCATTTCTCATTGCAATATTATTATGATTATTATTACTTCTTAATTTTTTTACTAGTATTATTACTTCGATTTATTATACTATATATTACTACGATTATTACTAGTATTTATTTCTATTTATTATTACATTTAAGAGGGAATAATTGTCGCCAGTGGGGTTCACGTCCATAATTGGCAAGACTTACGAACGACTTTCTGAGGTTCAGCAGGAAGGAGTTAAGCCAGATGACGGTCATGTAGTCTATGGTCAGCTTGACTGGGTTTGCTTGCACACATAGGTTCGAGCACGGCACTGCAACAGCAACCCGGCTATATACACACAGGTAACATCACATCACATCGTAACCATAACCTAACTGCAACCCTAATCTTCATCTTACCTAACCCTACACCTAATGCTAACTCTACCCTAACAGAACCCTTACCAGAACCTTGTTAGGAACTTTAAACTAGTCGCTCATTGCTACCTTTGCGTAGCATTTTCTCAACATAACTTTTATGTAAAATGACATCATCCAACCGGCAAATCAAATCCGCGAGGGGGTAACACAGTAGAGCTGTGCCCAGTAGAGGCTGTCCAGGCCTCCTCATCACGTATGTCGCTAACCAGAACCTTTATTCCCCACCCCCAACTCGCTCGCTCGCCCCGCCCTCGCTCACTCTCGCCCAGCCCTCGCTCGCCCCGCCCTCGCTCACTCTCGCCCAGCCCTCTCGCTCGCCCC